TTTCCTGGGGTTCTTCATGGAGTGAAGGACACAGGATGAAAGTCCCAGGGTGGTTTGTGCAAAAACAAGGGCAGGACTAAGTACTCATGTGCATGGGCTGCTCAGACTGCTCAGGCTGGGTCAGCTGTCACTGCAGGTTCCCCTCCCAGCCTCTTGCCCACCTGCAACCAACTGACTCCTGGGGGAGAGTGAGAAGCAGAGAAGGCCTTGATGCTGTGAAAACACTGCTCAGAAACAGCGATCAGAACCACGGGTGACCAACACTGTTCTGGTCACATACCAAAAACACAGCAACACACGGTCTGATCTGCAGAGAGAAACACCGTCCCAGACAGTCTTTGTCCCCACAATGGATGAGACGCTCTGGAAGGAGCCAGGAAGGTGCTAATAAGCACCAAGACAATTGAGGAAGACCAAAGGCCCTTGTGAAGGGTCACTGAGTGCCACCTGAGAGGCAGTGCTGGGCAGTGGGGAGGGCCAGGAGAAAGACTTGTGAGAAGGCTGTGAGAAACAAGGAAATCCATGGCTTTAGCAGGTCCTTAAAGTCCTGGCTAAGTCCCCAAATGGAAAGCAATCTATGTCTGTGGGTTGACGAGAAGGAAGTGGTGAGTCCCAGATGGGGGACAAGGCTGAAGGTCCCTGCGTGAAGCTGGGCTGATGGAGAAGTGTCCACCTTGCATGTGTGCCTCAGCCTGGGAGCAGGGGCCTGTCCACAGTGTGGGATGGCTGGGCTGTGCTCAGCCATGCCCCAGGAGATGACCTTGCTCTCTTCCTCCCCACCACTCCCCACACGGGGCAGGCCCTCAGGAAGCACCCCTGAGCCTGGACATGCACCAACCTGCTGCGCTGAAGTGCCACTAGTGCAGGGGCAGAGGGGAGGGTTGGAGAGACACGGGGGGCCTGTGGGCAAGAGTGGTGTGGCCTGGGGAACTGAGTGGCTGGGAAAAGTTACCCTGGATCCATAGGAGCCATTCTGGAAAGAAAACTTGTAGGCAGGAATCGCACTTTTGTGGCACTGCAGAGCTGCTGGGCACATTGTGCAGGGTGCTCTGATGGACTTTTGTGTCCTTTTCCATTGTGTATTAAGTGATGCTTTTCTCAGGAATAGAGTAGCCAACAGAGCACTGACAGATAGTCTAAGATCATGAAAGGCATCATAAACATGCCCCTAAAAAAATAACTGATATGAGGAAATCAGGAGAAGCCTGGCCAGAAGAAATGTGAGACTGAGAGGAAGGAATAGGGGCTTGGCCAGCTGATATTAAGGATTTTGTAGAAGTAAGAGGGTTCAGGTTCTGCTGATGCTGCCGTAACTGTGACTTTAAATAGTCATATGAGGCTATTCCCTGGCTTCAACCTATAAACTAAATTCCTAAACCTACATGCTATTCAGCACCCTGACAGGAATTCACTACTCTAATGACTGACCTCAAAGTATCCCTAGAAGACAAAACTCAGCCCATAGCCGCTTCCCCTAGCTCTTACTCTCTTAATCACTCTGATCTCTGCACTTAATACTAGCATTAAAATGGTCCACTTAACACTAGAAATCTGCTTAAGAGACACCTAAACAAAACCCTAACTCCAAATAAATGTAAGGGGCCATGGATCTGATAAGCTTGTGGGCCACAAGGAGGAGATGGGTGGGAATGCTCTGAGGAGCTCAGCTCTGCCTCAGGATCTCCTGCCCCAGCAGCAGGAATGTGACTGTGGCAGTGACTGTGAGGTCACTTCTGTCTCTGCAGTGGATAGGGCAGCAGCAGGAACGTGTCACAGAAAAGGACTGGGAGGTCACTTGTGTCTGTAGCTGGCAGGTCAGTCTTGCCTTCTCCCTGGGAGCTGCACTTTTGGGCTGACATCTGGCAGTGGCCCTGCTAGGCCAGCAGAAGGCACCTGCTTGGCATGCTGACTGGGGGATCCCCTCTGCCTCCAGACCCATGAGGACCCAGAAAGAAGGCCCCCAGATGGGTTGTCCTGTCCCTTCTGCTTGAGTCTATGAGTGGGCAGCAGCAGGAGGCACAAGGCTTGGCTGTGTGTAACCAAGAAGCTGCAAGGCCAGCAGCAGGCCCCTGGCTTGGAAGATGCTGGTGAGTGTCTATGATCCGACCCTAGCTTCGTTTCTCAAGGAACAGCTGGTGAGGGTTGATGAGACGTTGGTGATATGATGGAACTGCTGGGGTGAGAGCAAGGTGGTGAACAGAGATGGCTGTCTGCAGACTTCCAGGAAATAGGACAAAGTGTGGGACAGCATAGGAAATCATGCAGAGGAAAAGACAGAGGTTGCTGATAAAAAGGGAAGGCTCCAACAGTCCTGATACTTTGGCTAGAAGTTTTGAGAAAATGAGATATAGTCATTGCAGTGCAGCCTCTTTGTTTCCTTGCAACCCTGTGCAGAGGCAGGGAGGTGTCATATCAGTTTTCCTCTCGTGGCATCACACTGCCCACCACATTCCTCAGATCCCCAGGAAAAGTCAGGGGGTGCAGGATCTCCCCTCCCAGTGGCTGAGGTCAGGCCTTGGCCCTTCTGCATCACCAAAACCAAGCAAGACTTTTCTCAGCACAGTGCTTTGCATGTCTGTAATTATGGCCTCCAATTATCTGTCCTAACATGTGCCTGGGGAGGCTTTGTTAGTAACAGCCCTTAGTGGGGCCCATTAATACTCCAAGTCACTTCAACTTTTCCTTTTGAGTTTGCTTTTTCGTTCAATTGCATCATTCTCCTCTCAGTACCCAAGTTTCTTTGACTCAGCACCAAAATACTCCATGGACCTCATTAAAACACAGAAACTCCTAAGCAGCCATATCTCTCCCATCATTTTCGTCAAGCATTGAAGACTTGTTCAGCTACTTGGAGAACTTTCATGTTGTAGTTAAGGGGGAAGATTTCAAAGAGCATCTAATAAAAATCTTTTCCCATTTTAAAGGCTGAATTTTGATTTGTTTCTGTTTAGAACATCATTCTGCTATAGGTATTGGTCTAGGGTTTCTCCTTTGAAGCCCTGCATAGGTGGGAAGAACAGGGATTTTCCTGTTTCAAAACAAACAACAGGAAATCATGCTGCAATTTTCAAAAAAAAAATAATGTTCAAGTTCCTTCTTTTGTTGCCTCCAGTGATGTTTACCTTCCCATAAGGATGACTGTACATGATGTATTTTACAGTGATTAATAGGAAATATTAAGTAATTGTGTTAATATTAATCCATATCATACAAATTCAATGATAAACGATGAGGGTCTTTCTAAGGAAACCATTAGACAGATTGCTGAGAGATGGGCGACCTTGAACTCACTGAAACTCCAAGCAGCAACTGGGTCACTGAGAGTGGTCTGAATGATTAAACGGTAAGAAGAGGGCAAACCAGGAGAATGATGGGAAGTGCATAGGTCCAGACAGGCAGCTGGAAAGGGGGCATTCAGCAGGGTCTGTGTAATCAAGATGAGTTTTGTGCCTGGAAGATGAGGGAGGGAGCACACCACGATAGAAAAGCGATGACAATGCAAGTACAGGTGAACACCAGTATTTCTTCACCTGGAATGAATATGCATCCTGAAAAATCACATTTCTTCATGATAGAAATTCACTTCACATGAGACATTTTACAGAAAGGATTGAGTCTTTTGAGCTGATGAGTTGTTGCTTTATTATTCAAGTACTGAAAAAAAATACTGGGTATTCTGGCAGAACTCTGCTGTCTGACCATAAACAACCAGGAAAAATCTCCAATGGCCCCGTTGTTTTTGAGGCACTTGCCTGGACTGGCAGATGTCAGAAAAGACCTACAGGAGGCCAGAGCCCTTTGGGAAAATCAGGTGGAGCCAGGTGGAGTTCCCAGGGCACCTCCACTGCCAGCAGTGGTCTTTGTCCCTGTAACTGCAGCCCACTCCAGCACAGGAACACCCCTTCAAAGACAAACCTCTTCTTCAGTGGGTTCCTTGGATTGACCTAGATTTGAAATGGCCACTGGAAACCTGAGATACTCTCCCTTACTTAAACTAGACACTTGAACATCTGTTGATGACCTTCCTGGGTCATCTTTAGCAAACTCAAACTGAAAAACTCAAGTATAGCATGCTTGAAATGGCTGAGGCAGGACACATCAGCTTGCCCCACTTTTCAAGTGGCCCTGTCCAACTAAGGATTTGAAAGCAACAAATACGGAATGAACCATGAGGTCAATGTGCAGAGTAAGGGAAGGTCACACATACTGTCCTGGAGTAGCAGAAGGCAAAAAGCATTGCATTGTGCCTCAGAATAATCAAGGAGACCTAATGCAGTTCATCCATGAGGAAAAGCAGAGAGAAGGACGTTGAGTTTGGCCTAACATGAAGAAGGATGTGCATCACTGGTGAAGGAACCATCATTTGTGCCATCACCAATGTGAATTACACAAGCACCACCGCACCTAATGGTAACCTGTCCGCCCCTGTTTAGTATTCCCACAGGGCAGTGGAAAGGGAGCCAGCAGCCAAGGGACACATTTGAGTGTGGACGGTGGGGCCCAGCAGAGACAAGGAGTCAAGGCAGTGGGGTGGGGGAGGCCAGCAGAAGCAGCCCAAGGGGTGGTGCTGTTTGTGAGTACACACTTGGGCCACCAGCCTGAGTGGGCAGCAGCTGTGCGCAGGCGAGGGGAGGCCAGGAAGCGCATGCCGAGAGCGCTCCTGCCAGCAGAGCCAAGGCCAGGGCCAAGCCCAAGGGCAGAGGCAGGCCCAGGGCAGGGGGCTGCAAGGGCCATGCTGAGCTCCCTGCCCCTGCAGCAGCCGCCCTGGCCCTCAGCAGATGTGCTGGCAGGCTGTGGGGAGGGGATGAATGCCCTGAGCTCCCTTTCTGCTCTGCCCAGGCCCGCAAGGGCCCAGAGCGGCCTCCTCTCCCCTGCCCCTGCAACTCTGGGCTCCCTTCGCGCAGCCCTGACTCTGCAGCACCAAGCCCTGCTGGGAGGCCTCCCCTGAATGCTGCCCCCACTCCCAGAAAATGCTGGAATTTCTAATTATATCTATATTATTATAGTTTAATATGCTGATGATGTGTGTATTCAAGCAGAGTCCTCACTGAATCCCTTAATTCCTTGTTCCTCATGCTGTAGATGAGAGGGTTCACTGCTGAAGGCACCACTGAGTACAGAAATGATACCACCAGGTCCAGGGATGGGGAGGAGATGGAGGGGGTCTTCAGGTAGGCAAACATGACAGCGCTGACAAAGAGGGAGACCACAGCCAGGTGAGGGAGGCACGTGGAAAAGGCTTTGTGCTGACCCTGCTCAGAGGGCATCCTCAGCACTGCCCTGAAGATCTGCACATAGGACACCACAATGAAAACAAAACAACCAAATGTTAAAGAAACACTAAACACAAGTGCCCCAACTTCCCTGAGGTAGGCATCTGAGCAGGAGAGCTTGAGGATCTGGGGGATTTCACAGAAGAACTGGTCCACAGTATTGCCGTGGCAGAGGGGCAGGGAAAATGTGTTGGCCGTGTGCAGGACAGCATTGAGAAAGCCACTGCCCCAGGCAGCTGCTGCCATCTGGGCACAAGCTCTGCTGCCCAGGAGGCTCCCGTAGTGCAGGGGCTTGCAGATGGCAACGTAGTGGTCGTAGGCCATGACAGTTAGAAGGCAATACTCAGCTACAACAAAGAGGAGTGAAAAGAGGATTTGTGCAATACATCCTTGATAGGAGATGGCCCTGGTGTCCCAGAGGGCATTGGCCATGGCTTTGGGCAGAGTGGTGGAGATGCAGCCCATGTCGAGGAGGGCGAGGTTGAGGAGGAAGAAGTACATGGGGGTGTGGAGGCGGTGGTGGCAGGCTACGGCGCTGAGGATAAGGCCGTTGCCCAGGAGGGCAGCCAGGTAGATGCCCAGGAAGAGCGCGAAGTGCAGGAGCTGCAGCTCACGCGTGTCTGCAAATGCCAGCAGGAGGAACTCGCTCACCGAGCTGATGTTGGGCATGTCCTGCTTCTGGGCATGGGGTCCTGCCCAAGGAACAGAAAAACACTGAGAGTTTATCAGAGTTATCTTAACAGACTTATCTTACAAAATATATTAAAAAAAAAAAAAAAAAAAAAAAAAAAAAAAAAGCTATTTTTCTTTTATGCCTTTATTTCTCATTTCAGAGGAAAAATCATTCAATTTTTCATTTAATACCTCCCAAATCATTCTCCACTTCCATTCAGACTTTTGGCAGGTCCCTTTCATGAGTTCTGGCTGGTGCTGCTAGAGGGTGTCACTGAGAGCAGGGGACTTGCTGTGGGCAATGTGGGAGTCAGTCTTGCCCAAAGTAAGTGGTAAAGATCATGTAGTGATTTTTCTTTTGTCTCTTTTGTGCTAGCAGCCCCACTGTACTCAAAGTAAATCCTTGTGTGTCATCAATGTGGCGATGTCTTCATTGCAGTGTCCTTGAGAGAGCACATCGAGTCTGTGTGTTAGTCCCAGTGTCAACTGCCCTGTGCTGGTGTCTCTTTGACCTACAGGACAATTGCACTCCTATGTTTGCCTGAAACAAAACCAGGACAGTGCTGAGAGCAGAGACATCCAGGTACAAAGTGCCCATCTCCAGACCCCTACGCCAGTCCCCGTACTCCCCTTCCTCCAAGCACACCAAGGGCTCACCATATGGGCACCTAAACCCCCCATCCCCAGCCAGCCTGGGAACAAGACCAGCAGCAGCATGGCCAGCTGGAGAAGCCAGAAGGAATGCCAGCGTGCTGCTGCCAGGGGAGGCAAGGCCAGGGAGGGACAGACGGACACTCAGCAGACCCTCCTGTGCTGCAGCTCTGCCTGCAGGGGAGCCAGCTCCTGCTCTTTGCAAATGCTGTTTGCTCTGCTTTGGCCTGAAGACACCTCCGTAAGACAGGGGATATCAGGGGGGTTCTAGCTCCTAAGAATCAGCTAGGATAAAACCTGAGAGGACCACAATATGATGTTGGTGCACTCCATGAGATGAGGTTTGGGAAGGTACTTTACAAATTTCATCACTGACATCAATTTCTCAGTGCTATGCTCCAGGAGTCTTAGTTTCCTGTAAAATCCTGACAGTGAATTACCATGAAACTTGCCTCCCCTCCACTGCAAGAATCTGCAAGCACAGACTGAAAAAAAAAAAAAAAGTCTTGCTTTTCAGGTAGACTCTGCCTTGGTTTTCCTCCTAAAAATCCAATTCTAAATGCCATTCTAAAAATTCTTCTACGCCTCGCTGAAGAAACAGAGAGACCCATCCTGGCAGATGCTGTCAGCCATCGCATGTGCCAGCTGTAGAAGACCCCTCTGGCAACCCCACCTGCAGTGCCCTGCTGCCAGAGCCTCATGGTGCCAAGAGCCTGCAGATGTGTCCTGCCACACGCTGCCCTCTGTTGTTGCGCTCCTCAGTGCCTCCAAGCCCTCTCTCCTTCTCTCCTCTCTGTGTGCCAGCTGCGGTCAGAGCCCCCAGCCCTGCTGCGCTGTGCAGAGGAGCTGCTCCTGGGCACACCTGTATCTCTGCAGGGTCTCTGTTGGGGTGTGCTGTTTGAATCAGACTGAATTCATCACCACCTGCACTTCTCTGAACACAGGGGATATGGCTTTTACAAGAGTGATTTGTGCTGTTAGACTGTGGTTGTCAAACATGTTGTGCTTTAACCTGGTGGGTAGCTCAGCACCGCACAGCAGTTGGCTCACACCAGCACCCCTCCCCCCCCCCCAAATGCTTATGTGTAGAGATAAGGGCAGTTTAAAGGACTGAAAGGGAAGAGAAATAATAATAGTTGCTGTTATTAATATTGATATTGTTATTGTTATTTTTATGTAGAAAGCAAGTTAAGCACAGTGCAATTGCTCGTTACTGACTGATGTCCAGCCTGTCCCCAACTGGTAGAACAGTGTGGTAACCATCTGCACCTGCTCAGTCAGTGGCACTGACTGAGGCTCAGTAAGCACAGACCAAGTCCCAGCACATTCCAGTGACTTGTGTCCCTTTGGAATTGCCAAGGTGAGAACACGTGCTGTTGAGGTTGTGATGAGGCAGGGGTCAGCCTCTTCTCTCAGATAACTAATGGTAAGACTCAAGGAAATGGCCACAAGTTGTGCCTGGGGAGATTGAAATTACATATTATGAAAAATTAGATTATATATCACGAAAAACTTTTTCTCCCAAAGAGTAGTCAGGTACTCTGAGACAGGTACTCAGATATAATGACAGCCATCAGAAAGCTAATCCCAGTTAGATAACTGTTATGGAGAGGTCAGGAGTAGCCTGGCCAGGAGAGATGTCAGATTGGGGTGAGGGAAGAAGAAGTCAAGAAAAGCTCGAAAGCTTACCTTTGTAGATGTAAGAGGGTAAGAGGTAAGAGGTAATGTTGATGCTGATGTAACACTGACTTCAAACAGTCTTGCATGGCCCTTACACTATTTTCAAGAGTAACATTAATCCCTCAACCAAAACATTAGTCAACCACCTTGACAGGAGTCCACTATTGTAATGCAGAACTCAAGGCATCACCTGAAGAAAAACTCAGAGCAGAGCTCCATTCCCTTACCTTTACTCTCTTGCTCACCCTAATCTCTGCCCTTAACAGTAACATTAAAATGCTCTATTTAACCCCAGAATTCTTGCCGTACCTAAAAATAAAACCTTTGACCATAAAGCTTGCCCATACCCTAACCAGAGACCTGACACCACAATCAGAACACCAGAAACTCCAACTAAACCTTTGCTTAATCTCTAACACAGAAAAGTAAAATCTAGTCCCTACAGGACTAGAGAGAGCTCAGCTCTGCCTCAGGGTCTCCTCCCTCAGCAGGAGGAATGTGACTAAGACAGTGACTGTGAGGTCATTTCTGTCTCTGCGGTTCATAGGGCAGCAGCAGGAACGTGTCACAGAAAGGGACTGGGAGGTCATTTGTGTCTGGAGGTGGCAGGTCACCCTTGCCTTCTCCCTGGGAGCTGCACTTTTGGGCTGACATCTGGCAGTGGCCCTGCTAGGCCAGCAGAAGGCACCTGCTTGGCATGCTGACTGGGGGATCCCCTCTGCCTCCAGACCCAGGAGCACCCAGACAGAAAGAAGGCCCCCATATGGGTTGTCCTGTCCCTTCTGCTTGAGTCCATGACTGCACAGCAGCAGCAGGCACAAGGCTTGGCTGTGTCTAGCCAAGAAACTGCAAGGCCAGCAGCAGGCCCCTGGCTTGGAAGCTGCTGCTGAGGTGACTTGTGTCTGGTTGGCTGAGAGGCTGCAAGGAGCCTGCTGGGTTGAGATGCCTATTTCAGGAGTGGTTTCCACCCTGATGGAGCTTTCTTTGGCAGTAGGAATTAGCAGGAGAGAAAAACTGCCGCAGAGTGCACCTCGGAAATTATGCATTGACATGAGGAGGAAAAAATGTCACTCAGAGGGTCATGGTGTGGTCACCCTGTGATGCCAGAGGTCACCCTTTGATCAGCCCCCCTTTTGGTGTTTCAGGGAACATATGGTGAGGGTTGATGAGACATTGCTGAAAGCAAGGAATGAGAGCAAGGTTCTGAACAGAGATGGGTTTCTGCAAACTTCAAAGAAATAGGGGAAAGTGTGGGACAGCATAGGAAAGCCTGCAGAGGAGAAGGCAGAGGGTGCTGGTAAAAAGGGAAGGCCCCAACAACCCTGACACTTTTGTCCCCTTGGCTAAAGCTTATGAGGATAAATTTTATGCTCATTAGAGTGCAGCCTCTTTGCTTCCCTGCAACCCTGTGCAGAGTCAGGGTGGTGTCATACCAGTGTTTTTCTCAGGCATCACACTGCCCATATTCCCGTATTCCTCAGACCCCCAAGAAAAGTCCTGAGCCAGACAGGGGGGTGCAGGATCTCTCCTCACAGTGGCTGGAGTCAGGCCTTGGACCGTTTGCTTCACTAAAACCAACGAAGACTTTTCTCAGCACAGTGCTTTGCCTCTCTAATCATGGCCTCCAATTATCTGCCCTAACAAGTCCCTGGGGAGGCTGTCTTAGTAACAGCCATCAGTGGGACCATTAAGACTCCAAGTCACTTCAGCTTTTCCTTTTGAGTTTTCTTTTCGCACAGTTTCATCATTGTCCTCTCAGTACCCAAGTTTCATAGACTGAGCACCAAAATACACCATGGAACTCATTAAAACACAGAAACTCCTAAGGAGCCATGTCTCTCCCACAATTTTCTTCAAATCTTCCAGACTTGATCAGCTAATGAGAGAGCTTTCATGTTCTAGTTAAGGGGGAAGATTTCAAGAAGCATCTAATAAAAATCTTTCTTCATTTTAAAGGTTGAATTTTGTTGTGTTTCAGTTGAGAACATCATTCTCCTATAGGTATTGGTCTAGGTTTTGACCTTCGAAGCCCTGCTTAGGTGGGGTTAAAAAGTTTTCTTTTTTTTTAAACTAAAATTGTAATAAGTATTAGACCTGCTTAATAGTTACTTGTCATAATGCTGATTGCTTTAATCTCAACTCTGCTGCGCCTGTTTTCCAAATTGAGTATTATAGTACATTATTTTCCGTATGTGCTCTCTGTCATGTTGTTTATCCTCTCCGGGCCCAGGTTTCAGATCATTATGGTACTGTGTGTTGTATCAGTGGCTTATGAGATGATGAAA